TTTCCTGCAATATTTGGATAACTGGCCCGATGAGCGTGTCGACCATGAATCTAGAGGCTAATAACCAGATAATCAACCATAAACCTTCAACGTCACTGTCCTGGTTTCAAAAACAAAAATTATTGGTGGAGCTCGTCAGAATTCTTCAAGTTTCTACTCTTTATTCAACTCTTTTGCAGTTAAAGAGTACTGATACGTGAGTGCTATCAAAAACAAACATATCAAAAGGTTGTTACTCGCTTGTCAGTAGCGTAACAACTCTTCTGTCTTGAATTACGACTGACATTACCAGCAGCCCTCATCCCTTAAACTGAATCTTTGAAGGCTGCTCACGTACATCCCTTACTTTTAATTCTCTATTATGCTCCGCCGCCTTGAACATCACAATACCGCAGTCCGAAAAAACTTCGCAGTTACGAGCTTTTATGAAGTCCCACTCTCGCCATGACTGTTGCCAGCTCGTTCTTTAAAGTTATAAAAAAGAGGGTCACCTAACTTTAACCTAAGGAAGTAGAGAAACTAATCTGATGCCCAAACCTGCAACTCCTATTAGAAAGCAAACTGCTCTCAAATTCAGCTCCCAAATACACCACCTGCCTTTCCGTTTAGAGGCTCAAATCACAACTTTAAAGAACAAAAGAAATAAACGACCCATCAAACTAACCCCTTCATACCGCTAAACAAGTTTCCAGTCACGTTAATAACTCAGATACCACACACTCCGAAACGCACGTCTCAGAATGAAAACTGACTGCGACGCGATGCCGTGTGCTTGCCCGCCGCGTCTTGACATTACCACACCCAAGAAGAAAACCCAATATCAGACGAACTTCCTTGACTTTTCATGAGTGCCAGTATAACCAACAGAACCCCCAACTACAACGGCCCCTGATGGCCCGTTCCAACAACTGATTAGGACAACCACCCCGCACACTAAGCCTCCCCACCGAACTACAAGCTGCCCTACTTTCGCTCTCGTTCACTGAAGATCCCACTCTGATCCAACCCTTAAAGCTCCGCACCCAAGCCCGCGTCCTTCCTTCACACCACCTCCGCTAATGCTCTTTTAGCATACAGTGAAACTTGGCCCCCACACCCCACAACTCCTGAGCTCCAAACACTACGCCAAATGGACCAACCATCCCACTTCCCTTCCCCCTTGAGCACTACCGCGAGTCCACTTCCAATTCCCCAAACCCTCCTCTCTGCTGCCCTGTAAACGTCGACAACACATACCATTTAAAGAAATCAGTTTTCTTTCATGTCGCTGACGAAGTACAACAGACCCGACTAAAATTCAAGAATCACCAAATTTATTCTCATGATAAGATCAACGATGGATTCGAGATGAGACCTAACAACGAGGAGAAATGGATGATGAGCTCGCCATTGAAGTGGAGCGCGGATAAAGTGCAGCGTATACAAAAGAAATAACAGTAAAATAGAAAGACCGAGAGCCCTCCAACGACGAGCCCAATCCCCAGCAGGCTCCTTGAATAAGAAAAGAAAAAACTCAACAACTTTACAAAAAAGTGAGATAGTTAAAACCACCAGGAAATTGCGAGACATAGTCAACGATGACATTCTAGCAGAAAAATGCGACAGAAACAAAACTCCGCACTTAATTAATATTACATACGAATTACATTAACCACTATCGCAACAGATCTACAAATTATTGAGCGGGTCCGCAGAATTTTTCTAGCCATAATTATCAGGTAAAAGTTTCAAAACACAACAGTTTCAGAACATCCATACCGCATCATTACTCAAGTTCCACAAGGACCATTCCCTCATCAACAGTGTCACCGGGCTTGCAGTTCACAGCCTTCACCTAAAACACAAATTTTGAAGCATGTAGAATAAACAATAAATTGAGTTTTAACTTGTGGCATCTTTCAGAGACAATCAAGAACCCAAAACTGTATAATAGGAATAATTTCAAAATAAAGCTTACTAACCTTTCCAGTTTTTCCTGCCAGCAAACTATTTTGCATCTTCATAGCTTCCATAACGCAAAGTTCTTGACCTTCAGTGACCTGAAAATCCATCCTTTAGCAAAACTCATTTTACTTCTGAAACTTTGGCTTTAAGCAATGTTGCAAAGTGTTACCATCATTCCAGGCTTGGCCGAAACAGACTTAATGGCTCCTGGCATAGGTGCAATAACAACTGAACTTAAATCCATCTTTGGCTTTTCCTTCATGTGCTTCAACAAGCTGTCGGCCAAAGCTGGCATAACCTTCATTTTAAACGGCGATCCTTTGAAGATCAAGGTAAACTAAAACAATAAGTTAATTAAAACTAGAGTAAGCACAATGTAACCTATACTAGCAAGAATATCTCATTAACATACTTCACCCGGTCGTTTCCCTGCAATCTGAGTGGTCATTCCTCTTCCATTAGCTGATAAATGCAATACAGAAAGTGCCAAGCTCATGTTTCCACGAATTTGGACTTTCTTTCCATCCACCATAGCCTAAACCACTATATCAAACCAAAAAGCGAAGCAGAAAAACTCCAGATCTCAACTGCGACAAAAAAAGTAACTTATTCAGGAACAATAAAAATAATTATAACACTATAAACCCATTACATTAGCCGTCATGTGGTCGGCCTCAGGAAAAGTTACATCAACGTTGGCACGGTGTACCGTCCCGTGTTCACCATGTTTTGGTGTCTCAACAACGTAATGGTACGCTTTCTTGTATGGATCTAAATCACAGTGAATTATGTACAAGCAAAGCACCAAAAGTCTGCATTCAGTACTGTGACGTAATAAGTGATTTTAATAATCTACGACGTGCAAGCACTGTCGCTGAAAATCCAATTTGCTTCGACCAAAAAACCAATTAATGAAGTAATTTCATCTGTAAAATGTATTTCGCTTCGGAGCTGACTGACACAACACCTAAAACGCCTTAGGTACCAGCAACAGTAAGGTTCAGCTAAGAAGTGCGAAGGTTTGGAACACTATATGCTGTAGAGAACAAAACGAAAAGCAAAAAAAAGACTACTGGTTAAAGACTACTGGTTAAGCACTAGAAAATAAAGAGAGACATGTTAAGTGTTATAATTCCTTAAGGGTAAGAAACCTAATATTAGAACCAGTAACCATAGCCAACCAAATTAATAATGAAATCATTCAGTTAAAAGAACAAAAAGTACCCGATCACCTTGTATAACCGATGTTAAATTTTAAAAAACAAAAGAATGTTTAAAAGAAACTTGCCTGGCCCAACGTCACCTTAAAAAAATACATTAATAGGACTTCGCATTGAAAAACACACAAGGCTGCAAACACTAAAGAAAGCAAATGTGAAGGCGAAAGCAAATTCTAAAAAGCAAGTTAATACAACTGGAACTTTGGTAGCCACCACCTACAGTGGTTGAAACTGATTCCCTAACATGACTCATCCAGCTACCACTAACTCATCTGAAGATACATAAAACTGTTTAAATCATTAACTACACAAAACTAACCCCGCGTTCCATCATCACATAAAGAACAGAGATCTCCTAAAAAGTGCAAAATGTGAATCAAGGCAATCTGACGCGAAAAAAATGTACACAATTACTTTACAAGGGTGTACCTCCCAACCAACTCGTCGTGTGCTCAATTCTCATGCAGAATAGCTAGACTATCATCAAAATATGAGTAAGCGTAGAAGTCTGTTAGAAAGCCTCTGTCGAAGCGTGTAGAACAAGTAAGAAAATTAAAAATTCTTCATCTCTTAAAGGAAAGTGTACAATAGCGAAGTAACAAAGTGTTAAAAAAAGCAGCATGTAAGGTGTAGC